CAGGGACATATCTCGAGGGAGATGAGGAGGAGACTGACCCTGTGCAGTAACTGACGTTCTTCGAGATGAGTGTCCCTGTGGGTGCTCCACTACCCACCCTCCTCCCCTCTACTTCGGAGTTGGGGGGCCTCCGTTGTAGAGAAGGAACTGAGGAGACCGGCCACGCATGCATACTATCAACCTAGACTCACAGCGGGGGGCAGCCTCTGAGCATGCGTGGCTGCTATGAGTACTGCTGCAAAAATCTCCGAGCAAAGGCGCAGGGACGCACCAACACCTGGAGTGGAGCACCCACAGGGACACTCATCTCGAAGAACGTCAGTTACTGCACAGGGTGAGTAATCTCCTCATTCATACCCGGGGGAGCAAACAGCTGTGCATATCTCTCTATCAGTGTTATAGAGGGTGGACAATTTAAGAAACTGAGTACAGGTAAATCTTACCCTCAGAGATGTTCCAAGCTTCTTTCACAGACTAGACTTCCTCCTAGTCTGGGCCCAATCCTTTCCCCTGGTACAGTCCTTGTTAGTTCCAGCAGACATCTCTGGTGGTAAGCAGGGGTTTTCTCATGACTGGCAGCCCCCTTTGTCCTGTCCACCCCCTTTATAGCTTTGGCACAAGGCTGGAATCTTTTGTCTCTATGGGTCCCCACCCCTCCTAATGAAAATGTACCAGATTTAAGATGGATTTTATTATCAGGTGACATGGTCACATGTCATTGTAAGACCCCCTAGTCTCCATTCCCCATGGGCTGGCCCACACACACAGGAAGGCATGAAGGTAAATAAACCATTTACAATCAGTTGTCCTAGTCAATGGGAGCCATCAAGATTCTAAACCACCATTAATGGCCCACACTTTGCATAGTTACAATAGGACCTCAGAGTAATACTTCATATTTCTAGCTTCAGATACAAGACATACAAATAGGAGGAATATATTCAGTAGTTTATAACCTTTGTAATGATACCTTACAAGAGGCCTTTTGCATGAAACATATTCCAGTTACATCATATTCACACTCATAAGCATATTTCCATAAAACATGGAGTGCAATATCACAGCAGTATAGCCAGGAGGCCGGCGGGGCTGGGGGCCAGGAGGCCGGCGTGTGCACCGGGGATAGTGGCATGGGTTGGTGTGGCCACTGCAGATTGCAGTGAGGGGGCAGCATGGGTACCAGTGCCAGGCGGCCAGAGCCAGGGATGGTGGCGTGGGTGCCAGGGCTGTGTGACCCAGAGGGCAGCATGGGCACTGGGGCTGGGAGCTTGGTGATGAGGGGCACCGCAGCCTCCCCTCCCCTGCTGACCCTCTGTTCCCCAGGGCTGGCCGCTGACCTGCAGCTGGACCGGCTGAAGCCCACGTCGGGGCGAAGGGTCTGGGAGCTGCAGACACACCAGGCGGGCCTCAGACTGGAGCTGCAGCTATCGAGGGAGGCGCCACTCACCTGCCAGAATCTCACAGCCTACCTGCGGGTACGGGGGGCTCAGGGCGGGGGCTGCTCCATAGTCAGGGTCCCTGCGGGCACCCCAGGGTGGCTCCTGGCTGATCCACTTCTCAGGGCCACACCCCAGATCTTACAAAACCCCCCTTTAGGTGCCAGCCCCTGGTCCCGCTTGGCCTTGGCCACTGAGCCCCTGGGCCCGGCCTCCTGCAGCCCCGAGTTGTGCCCGCGGGTCTGGCTGAGCCGGGCTCCTGACAGCGACGCTGCTGCGCCTTGGGGCCAGCGCACCCCAGCTGGGGGTTATGGGCCCATCAGGGTGATTGGTTGCCTAGGCCCAGCCCGGGACGCCCCAGGGCCGGGGCACAGAGCCGGGGTTTAAGCCTCGGCTGGGTGGGTCGTCCCAGAGCATGACACCAGCAGTGACCCCTTGATGGGCTCCAGCTCTGACCTGCATACCCGGCCCCTACAGCTCCAGCCCCAGCCCGGGCTCTGCCCCATGGCCTGCCAAGAGACTCTGGGCAGGCACCCCTGGTGCGGGCACTGGCGCTCTGACCCCCATGCGGATCCAGGTCAGTTTCAGCCAGCTCCTTAGTGACTCTTCGCTCCAGCTGGGTGGGGTGACGCCCCCTACGTCTGTCTGCTCTGAGAGCATCATACACCTGTTCCCCCAGGCACCCCGCAGCCTACAGGGGAAACTGAGGCACGTGTTGGGGGGACAGAAATATTACCAAACATTCCCATTTGGTCACGTCTCTGTCCCGGGGGCTCAGGCTGGGCCAGGGCAGCCGCCCTTGGCCCTAGTGGGAAGGGTTCACAGTGTGCCCGGGCTGAGACCTGTGGGACGGGGGGTGCGGGCACCCAGCCCTGCCTCATCACTCTCCTCTCCCCTCCACCCCAGGACGAGGCTGATTTCAAGGACAAGCTGAGCCCCATCGTCGTGAGCCTGGCGCTGACCCTGGCAGCTGGGCCGGGCACCGAGGAGCTGGGACTGGTGCTCTACGGGCAGACGGTGGTTCAGGAGCAGGTGTGCCAGCCCAATGCCCCCTGACTATCCCAGCCCTCGGCTCCCGCCATGTTCCCGACCTGCAGCCCCTGCTGTCCCCTCCAGGGGCTCGCCCCACAGCTCTGCTGGTGCCCCTCAACCTTTACCCGCAGCCCCCAGATTTCCCAGTCCTGGGCTTCCCCCGCCCCACAGATCTGCCAGTGCCCCATAACCATGACCCACAGACCCCTGCTCCCAGCTCTGCTGCTGCCCCTCAGTCCCGCCCTGCCCTCAGCCTTTCCTCTCCCTGCTGGGCTCTCTGGGGCAGAGCGGTGCCAGGGCTGGTGCCCCATGGCGGCACTGGCTGTGAGGCTGAAGAACTGCTCTTGCTTTGTGTTCTGCTTGACCCCAGACAAGAATCGTGCTGGACTGCGGCGAGGACAACGTCTGCATCCCAAAGCTACAGCTTGCCGCCCACACGTAAGCACAACTTGGGCTGAAGCCAGGTCCATCCTCAGGCCACTGGGCCGGGGGTCAGGAAGGAATTCCTTTCCCTGGCGTGCTGCAGCATTCAGTGCATGGGGGGATTCGGCTGGCACTGGCCGCTGGTGCTGGCAGGACACGGGACTGATGGCCCGAGCTGACCTGCCGATCCCTAGGGCTCACAAGGACTTGTTCCCCATTGGCCGTGGTCCACTTTCGGACAGCTTCCCCGGCCGATACACAGTGTAGGCGGCTCCTATTGGCCAAGCCCTGGATTCCTCTGGGTCGGGCCAGGGCTCAGGCTCCTTCCCTCCATCTCTCAGGCCCGTGGCCCAGCTGTTCATCGGGGCCGAGAACGTGGTTCACATCCTGGCCGACGCCACCAATGCGGGCGAAGGCGCCTTCGAGGCCGAGCTGCGGCTGCAGCTGCCACGCGACGCCCACTATCAGAAAGCCACCAGCAATGTCCAGGTACGGGCGGGGCTGGACGGGCTCCCAGAAGGCACTGCGGTGCTGGCACCTTTCCCCCGCTGCAGGGTAAAGGGGTCCCCTCTCCCAGCAGGTGGAAGGGGGCCACCCCAGAGCTTTCCATGGGGCCCCCGCTGACACCCTGCTGCAGTTGCAGTCACAGTCCCTCTGTGGTCTCCATCGCTCTGCCATTGCATCGTCTGCCCTGTGTCGTCAACGGGGTTTGAACCCTGGACCTACAGCCTTGACCTCTGCTCCGGGGTCACTCCCTTAGCTGGTTGCAGTGGGAGGTTGTTATCCTGCAGTGAATGCTGGTTCAGAGCGGGTCTGGGATGGGGAGCTCCCATGCGTGTGTGTCCGGGCCCCGTCCAGCCCCCTCCTCCCCCCACAGTGAAAGTCCTCCGCTTCCTGCCCCCAGCCTCTCCCCGCTGCCCCCATGGTAACCCCCTGCCTCTGTACCCCGGCCGTAGGGGCTGGAGAAGTTGATCTGTAACCTCAAGAAGGAGAACGAGACACGTGTGGTGATCTGCGAGCTGGGGAACCCCATGAAGAGCGGGACCAAGGTAGGGGCCTTTCCTCCCCCCCCATGCGCCGCTTCCGGGCTGCCCTTCCCTTGGGTGAGGGGCCCCTGGCAGGACATGCCTGTGCTCAGCAGCTCCTGGATGCTTTGCGCTGTCCGTTGGTGATGGAGGTACCGCAGCACGGTGGTGCCCGGAGCTGGGAAGGGGCTTTGCCTGGGCCCCCCGGCTGAGGAGCCCTGCCCATGCCCTCTGGCCGGGCAGACACCAGCTCCCCTCTCCCCGCAGATCGCTGTGGACGTGGCACTCAGCATCAGTAACCTGGAGGACGCTGGTGACACCATTGAGTTCCAGCTGCAGCTGTGGAGGTGATGGAGGTGCCCCCTCCCCCCCTGTAGCGTCCTGTCAAGTGCCCGGCTCCCTGAGCCACCCCCGGGCCCTGCTGGCCGGCCTGGGATGCTCCTTTCAGCCCACCCATTGGTCACTCTGGGGCAGAGCCCGGGCAGGGGCCCCACTCCCGCCCCACTACCGGCCTGCCCCAGCCCAGAGCAGTGGCGAAGGCCTAGGGCGCGGCTGGCCCTGTCTTTGGATCTCAAAGCGCTTTGGGAACGTTACCGAATTAGCCTTCCCGGGAACTGGCAGCCCCAGGTTGCACAGGAGTGGAAGCAGGAATGGGACCCAGGAGTCCTGGGGCCCAGTTCCCTGCTCTAGCCACTAGCCCACATTCCCTCCCAGGCCAGGAAGAGGCTCCAGGAGTTCCTGTCCCCTGCTGTAGCCCCTCGCGCCAGTCGCCTCTGCCCGGCTCTGTCCCAGCAGGGCCCCGCCGGGCGCTACGGCTGACCTGGCTTTTCCCCTTTGACCGCAGCAAGAATAGCCGCAGCCCCCACAGCAACGTGGAGCGGGTGCAGATCCCCATCAAGGTCGCCGCGCTGCTGGACCTGCGAGGGTGAGGGGGCTGTGAGCACGGGGGATGGGCAGAGCGGGTCTGGTGCCCTTGGGGGGGTTCCCTGGCACGGCTGGGATCCCGAGTGGGGTGGGGTCGGGCAGTGGCCATGGCTGGTACTGGCTCAGTGCCCAGTCACACCGCTTAATGCCACCTCGTGCCCTCTGACTGCACCTCTGGCAGGGCGGGGTTAGCGCCACGTGGCCTCTTTCTGTGGGGCGCAGCAGCTCTGCTCCGCGAGCCCTGCAGAGCCTGGGGCCAGCCCGACCCTGCAGCTGACCCCCGCGCTCGAAAGTGGGAACCCTCAGCCTGCCCACCTTGGCTCCCACAGGAATTCGCTGCCAGCCACCATGGTGCTGCCAGTGGCAGGCTGGGAACTGGCGGAGGGCAGCCGCCGGCTGGAGGACCACGGGCCCAAGGTGGAGCACGTCTATCAGGTATGGCCCCATAGCGCAGGGGGCCACAGGGCGCGCTTGGCCTCCTTCCCTCACCCGGAGCTGGGCAATGAGCCCCCTAGTCCTGCTCTCTCCCCCCCACAGATGTTTCACAGCAAGGCCCTCTGCCATGGCTCGGGGGGAATTCTGTCCCTCCCCAGCTGGTTCCTGGTGTCGCTTGGGAGCACCGCGGGGTGGAGGGCCCTGCGCTGGGCTCCTCTGGCTGGGAGGCTCTCCAAGCACCCGTCCTGGGTGGCACAAGGAGCCTGGGGGCTGCACTAGGCAGCGGGCGCCGGGGAAGCGCATGCATGGCCCAGGGGAGCTGACGGCAAGGCTGGGCCTGGGCAGCGGGGCCCTGGCACCCCTGTGCCCCACCGCGCCAGCTCGGAATGGGGCTGATCAAACAGTGGTCAGCACAGCTCCCAGAGACCACATATCAGCCTCCTGCACACATACACCCCCACACATGCGCTGGTACATGCCCACCTGGGCACCCCCTCCTCACATGCGCTGGTACACCCCCACCTGGGCACCCCCCTGCACACGCGCTGGTATGCTCCCACCTGGGCACCCTCTGCACACGCGCTGGTACGCCCCCACCTGGGCACCCTCTGCACACGCGCTGGTACGCCCCCACCTGGGCACCCCCCTGCACAAGCGCTGGTACACTCCCACCTGGGCACCCTCCTGCACACACGCTGGTACACTCCCACCTGGGCACCCCCCTGCACACGCGCTGGTACACGCACATTTGTGTACCTCCGGCACACACGCTGGTACAGTCACACATACACACAGGTACACATCCACACACATAGGTAGCCCCATGCACACCCACTGTACACGGACATGTGTGGATCCCCACACATGTGCACTGGTACACACACACACCTGTGAATACTGGTACACTTCCCTCCCCCCCCACCCCCTTGCACACATGCTGGTACACCTACACATGCTAGTGCACCCACACATGCTCCGGTACACCCACACCCATACACGTTGGTACACAAACACGTGTACCCCCACACATGTGCATGCACCTGCACTGGTACGCACACACACAGGTACACCCCCACACACGCGCTCTGTTCCATACTGCCCTCACATGCTCCATTCGGCACTGCCAGTACTGGGGAGGTGGCCCGGGTGTGCCCCCTCTCCCTGGCTGTCTTGTTGCAAGCCGCCCTCCCCCCCATCACCTGTATGTCCTGTTCTCTTCCCCCCCCCCCCCAGCACTTATGTACAGTGTCACATCCCAGCCCCATCAGGCTTTTCCCAAGCTTCAGCGTCCTCCTAGGCTCAGGTGGGGGGGAGGGAGGAGTCACCTCGCTGGGGCCCTGGGCTTCCAGCCCCCCTTCCTCCTCCGGGTTAACAGCCCCCAGCTGATAAGCTGGCTCCCCTTGCTAGCGGGTTGTTAATCACCCGATGTCCTATTGCCTCGATATAATCCATGGGACGCCCACACCTGGAACACGGCGTGCAGATGTGCTCGCCCCATCTCGAAAAAAAAATCTTGGAATTGGACAAGGTTCAGAAGAGGGCAACGGAAATGCTTAGGGGTCTAGAACAGCGATTACATGTAGCCCCCCAGCGGGAGCCTGAGACTCGCTGCCAGGGTTGGTTTACAGTGTAGATGCCCCCTAACTCCTGTTAGAGAACCAGGAGACAACCCCCCAACTCCTGTCTCCCACCTTCCTCCCGATGCCTCCCTCCAGCGTGGCGCCCCCCCCACTCCCACCCAGCATTACCTCCCCTCTCCTCCCCTCCCATCCCCAAGCTGCACAACCAGGGCCCTGGCACCGTGAGCCAAGCAGAGCTGCGGGTGGAGTTCCCGAACCAGTTCCAGGGCGACTTCTTGCTGTACATGATGAAGCTCAACACAGAGGGGAGGATCAACTGCTCCAGCCCCACAGGACTCAACCCTCTGGGGGTAGGAGCGGGGATCTGTTGCACCGGCAGGGGGTGGGGGGCTGCTACCAGGCCATGGGCCCCGGGCTCTGCCAGCTCCAGCACTAGCAGAAAGGCCCCTCGTTGCCATCCCAGCTCTGCTGCCAGGCACCTGTCCCTCCATGAGCAAGAGCGGGAGCTGGGGGCAGCGCAGGCTCCACGGGGCCCAAGGGAGGGGGTGATGGGTGAGATGGAACATGTGGTCCGAGTGCACCTGCCAGGCTCTGATGTGGGATCTTCCCAAGTGCCAGCAGGCAAAGCGGCTCCAGTCCCGCTATCCCAGCCAGCTGCCAGCCTGTGGGGCTGAGCTGTGGGGCTGCGCTGTCCACGTGCAGTTGTGCTGGGAGCAGAGCCAGCCCAGCCCCACCAAGCCGCAGGGTGGGAGCCCTGAGTGGAGCCGGTCGGAGGTTTCCGAGGAAGCAGCGTTTGGTTGGAAAATCCTGATTTGTTGGAGGCTGCATTTCCCCGGAAAGCAGTCGGTCCAAGGTCTGCAGCTCCAGGGGAGCCCTGGGGTCCCCAGCCCAGGGGCAGTCCGCGTGGCAGCTGCTGACAGAAATAGATGGCCATAAGTCTTGTTACTCACCACTGAACAGCAGCTGTGATCCTTTCCCGTCAGTTTCAGTCCCGGGCTGCAGGGCCCTGGGAGCAGAGTCTGGGTTGGAAATTCAGGGTTGGTGTTTTCTAAGCAAACTTGTTTGCAATTTCCAGTTTGAAGGAAATTTCCAAATATCAAAACTCCCCAAGAACTGGTTCCACTGGGCAGCGTCTGAGGGGTCTGCCCAGGCTGCCAGGGGTGCTGGGCTGGTGTGGAGGGGCTGAGGGGGACTGGTTTGGTATGACAGGTTTCAGAGTAGCAGCCGTGTTAGTCTGTATCCGCAAAAAGAACAGGAGTACTTGTGGCACCTTAGAGACTAACAAATTTATTAGAGCATAAGCTTCCGTGGACTACTATGCATCCGAAGAAGTGGGCTGTAGTCCACGAAAGCTTATGCTCTAATAAATTTGTTAGTCTCTAAGGTGCCACAAGTACTCCTGTTGGTTTGGTATGGAGGCTGGTCCATAGGGCCCATCCCTGTGGCATTGGGATGTGGAGATGAGGCCGTGTCCCCTCTCATTCCAGCTGGAGGGCCAGAAATCAACGGCCTCCCCTGATCACAACATGAGCTACCAGCCCGCCCACAGGCGAGAGCGACGGGAGGCGGACAAGGCCGAGGCAGGCCCAGCCACTCTCAGGGAGCCCACCCTGGTGGTAAGGAGAAGGGGGGGTGTCTGCCAGGAGACCCTGCCCCAGCGGGTGCTGGCCAGGCCCAGTGCTGTGCAGAGACAATCTGGGGGGAGCAGAGAGCCCCTGGTGAGGGGAAGGCAGTGCCCCCAGGGGTGTGGCTTCCTGGGCTTTAGCCTCCCTGTTATACACACAGGGTGGCTGCAAAAGGGGGTGGGGAGGGATCCCCCCACTAGGGGGGGCTGTAGGTCAGATAGCAGTTTAGGGCCTGCAGCCAGAGCATGGCTGGGAGACCAGGCAGACTCTGTGGGCAGCATGGACTAGCTATCAAGGGAGACAGCTCTGTGTCTGGTCCCCGAGTGGCCACACACCCGAAGGCCAGCTCCCACGCTGGGCCGGCATCTTCCATCCCTCCCGCCCTGCCCCCCCATCTGCTCTGGAGCTGGGTGGTTCTGGTGGGACCCAACTGAGAGTGCCAGTTCAGGACAAATTGCTTCAAACAAGGCAGTTACAGCCCAAGGGAAACGAAACCAGCCAGAGAGGACTGTGGTTTTACCCCACTGGCTAACCACAAGTCACACAAGCAATTCTCTTAGATACAGTACTCCAGTTTCCCAGTATCACCATCAGTGCCACTCACTACGGGGGTGAATGGTTATGAAAACCAATACCCCAGTAAAAGAAAAAAGGTTCTCTCCATCCCAAAGGACCAAGCCCCAGACCCAGGTCAATATACAAGTTAGATCTTACCCATGAATCATGCTGTTGCCAATGCTTTAAATCTAAAATCTAAAAGTTTATTCATAAAAAGAAAAAATCTAGATGAGAGCTAGAATTGGTTAAATGGAATCAATTACATACAGTAATGGCAGAGTTCTTGGTTCAGGCTTGTAGCAGTGATGGAATAAACTGCAGGTTCAAATCAAGTCTCTGGAACATCCCCAGCTGGGATGGGTCATTCAGTCCTTTGTTCAAAGTTTCAGTTTGTAGCAAAGTTCCTCCAGAAGTATGAAGCAGGATTGAAGACAAGATAGAGATGAGGCATCAGCCTTTTTATAGTCTCTTCCAGGTGTAAGGACACCTCTTTGTTCTTACTGTGGAAAATTACAGCAAAATGGAGTTTGGAGTCACATGGGCAAGTCACATGTCCATGCATGACTCAATGCTTTACAGGCGGCAGCCATTGCCCACACGCTATCTTGAATGTCCCCAGGAAGACTTCTTATGTGGATTGGAGTCTCCCAAGGTCTATTGTCAGTTAAGTGTTTCTTGATTGGGCACTTAACTTGAAAATTCCTTTTTCAGGAAGCTGACCAAATGCTTTACTTCAGAATCAAAACACATTGATATACAAGTACATAGTCAATATTCATAACTTCAATTACAAAAATGATGCATGCATACAGACAGCATCATCATGATCAGCAAACCATAACCTGTCCACAGACACCTCATACGACAACCTTTGTACAATATTTGGTGCAAATATATAACAGTGGTTGCAACAATGATTTCTACGGTCCCAGGTTATGTCAGTAACGTCACATGGGGACAAATCAACCCCTACCCCCAGGCTCTGGATCCAAACCCTGCAGGTGTCGCAGGGGGTGGGGGCGCAGGGCTGACTCGCTCTGTCTTGTGGCAGAACTGCAGCAGCCAACCCTGTGTGGCCGTGCTGTGCAAGGTGGAGATGCTGGAGAGGGACCAGCGGGCCATGGTGACTGTCCACTCCGTCCTGTGGATGCAGAGCGTCGGGAAGGTGGGGACGCGGCCGGTCAGAATTTTCCCAGCCACTCGCCCGTTCGCTGACGTGACAGGTTTTGTCGACCCTGGTGCAGATTTGACCAGGCCAAGGCGAGAGTCCCTTGGAAACCTGCTGGTATTCCCAGGTCCACACCTCCGCGCAGGGAGCCCTCCAGCCCCCAGAGCACTGGCTGATGCCCGGCCTCTCAGGGCTGGCAGGCTCCTCTCAGGAGCTCTAGGGAAAGCCTGGGAGGCCGGCTGGCCCCTGGCTCTGCAGCAGGGAGCCCTGGAGGAGATTTGGGGTTGGGGTTTCCCAAATGAAATGTTGGGGAGTTCTCATTTTGGTCAGAAACCCCCAAATCTTCAGCTTCACTTCAACCCAAAGTTCCTGTTCCCCCTGTTTTTTCCAGTTTGGTTCCCAACCCAAAAATTCAATTAGTGCTGAGATCAGAGCCCTCAGAGCTCCATCCCCGCTCAGGGGTGTGTGGGGTCCCCCCTGCCCACCCATGTGTCCCCTCTGGGTGAGTGGGGTCTCCTTACCTGTTCATCCGTCCCCCCCCCCCCAGGGCGAGTGGAGCCCCCGTCTGCCCATCTGTCCCCCTCCCCAAGGGGCGTGAGTGAGGTTCCCCCTGCCTGCCCACCCAACCGGGGCCCAAGGCAAGTGCGGGCCCACCCAGGCCCACCCATCCATCCCCCCTAGGACTGCACAGGCTGTCTGAACACAGCAGGGCACCCCTGTACTGCACATCGACTTCGGCCCTGTGTGTACAGGCCATGGCGTTCCACTTGAGTGGGTTTGGGCAGCCCCTGAACTGTGCTGGGGTCTGAACCCAGGAGTCCGGGCTCCCTGCAGGGCAGGACATGCTGGGCTGCAGTCCGCTGGAGCTTGGAGATGCCCCGTCATCTCCCTTTGGATGGACAGAGGCCCAGCTGCCCTGCTTCCCTTGCGGTCTCGTGGCCCCAAAGAAGAGCAGAGGGCAGTGGGGCCCAGCCGGGGGGCGGTGGAATCCAGCCTGTTGTCACATCTCCCTCATGCCCTGCTCTGGGATCAGCCCAGCCCTGCCGGTGCCCAAAGCACCCATGCAGGGCATCCAGCCCCTCGCAGGCACGGCCAGTCACTGGGCATGTCCCCAGCATGACAGCCCTGCCAGTGAGTGCTGGGCCATTCCTGCTGCCCCCCGGGGCTCTCTCCCGCACAGCGGCCCCATGACCAGTTCATCATCCAGTCGCAGGCCTGGTTCAACGTCTCCGCCATGCCCTACCGCATCCAGCCTGAACTGCTGCCCAGCGGACACGCCACGGTACGTCCTTGGGGAGGGGCCACGGCCAGTGGGAGGAGCCACCTGCGGCCCCCTTGCTCTGTGGGGGGCTGGTTCTGTTAGCCCTGCAGCGCCTTGCTGGTGCCCCCATACTCTGCCCCCCAGATACCGATTGGCATGGTGGCCCTGGCAGTAAGAGCCCGAAGCAGGCACTGAGAGTCACACTCTTCCGCCTGGGGCTGGGGCCCCGCACCGAGGGCTGGGGCGTGCTGGCAGTGACGGGGCGCTCCTGTGGGTGGGGAGAGCCAAGCCGAGCAGACCCAGGGCACAGTGCCCTGGCTAGGGTTACCATACTTAACAAATTAAAAAAGAGGACCCTCCACGGGGTCCTGGCCCCGCCCATTTCCCAACCCAGCCCCATCCCAACTCCGCCCCTTCCCCGCCCTAACTCCGCCCCCTCCTCCCTCCCACTCCCAGCCACGCGGAAAGGGCTGCCCGAGCGCTACCGGCTTCATGGTTTGCTGGGCAGCCCCCAGACCCTGTGCCCCCGGCCGGCGCTTCCCCAGCGCAGCTGGAGCTCGGGAGGGGAAGCGCCCAACCGGGGGCGCAGGGTCTGGAGGCTGCCCAGCAAACC